ACCATAACGATGCAATTCAAAATTCGGACGAATATCGACTCACCCAATCTTTATCTTGTTTGATCCAAAATATAGATCTTGATCAACCAGTTAGATTTAAATAAAGAAGAGTCAACCTTAGCTAATAATAATATCCAAACAAGATGGAAGACAATATTAAAGAGTAATGAATAGCAAGAAATGGCATTTAAGTAAATGAAAACGTGTGAGTCACCCGAAAAGGGGTGAGATACATAAATATTCTTTCTGACAATGAAGAATGATTGATGAGCCTTAGAACACTCAGGTTGTTCTTAGATCGAGTGGAAAAGTTAGACAAGAATCTTAGTATAAAGGTTGTTTTTGTATGCTTGCAATATGATCAGTTTCACTCTATAAAGTCAATGTGTTTTCTTACAAATGAATATCTCACTCTAGAAATCCTAATAGTACAAGTACAGAGAATATCCACTAGAATATTCTCTTTAGAGTCCTATCTTGAAACTAGCAGTTATAACTCCGTCTAGGATACTCGACCTCGACCTTGACCTACGACGACTTCTCGACCTTGATCCTTGCTGATTCTTCGACCTTCATCATTTCTGGAAACACTTTGACTTTGGGCAGGTCTTTATTGAAGTCGTATTGGTGACACATGGTAGTATGTGAATGCCTCCTTAATGTTAACATTGTTTGATCATATTAGAGATAATTTTTTACCCATACAATTAGCCCTCCGCTTATTGAGGTCGTCCTCGTCGGTGAGCTTAATGAGCAGATAATATTATTTTCGGTCGAACTTATGGGGTAGGCTGTAAGAGTCATAATAGTTGTGTCGAACAGGCCATGTGGCCTCCCGTGGGCCGCATATTTCAAATACCACAAGTTTCTCGAGTGATTTGTTGGAGTTATCCTGTCCAAGGAATAGAATGACATCAGGCATTATTATGATGCATATTCCCGATATGTTGCCTTGATTCGTCCGTGACCCTTGATTGGATCTGCTGTTTCAATTCCGGTGCCAATTATGATGAGCCGTTTTCGAGTTTAGTGCCATAATCTCTATAAATAGAGGTTTTTGGACTTGAGTTTGAAGTTTGTTTCTTCTAACTCTCCAGAGCACAATCCTTCTTCTTGCCATTTTCTTCTCTAAACTTCCTTTCCTTACTTAGTTGCCCTACTCCATTCCCATTCTTCCGAGCGAGGATGGTGAGGATGATGAAAATTGGGGTGGTGATGGCATTGAAGATTGGACCGATGAGGATGTTATGGGTCGTGATGGCGATGGCCTACAATAGTTTTTTTTTAATAATTTTGTGTATTTTTGCCGGCGTCTTCAAGAGCCTTTGTAAGAAACTTTTGTATATTCATATCAAAGTTGGTTTTTGCTTTCATCTGTGCCTTACTTATCTGCCATGATTTGTTTTTGTACTTTGTGTGTTTTCCTCCTTCATACTTTTTGTTGTCGCCATGATTCGGGTTGAATAGCTATGGGCTAGAACCCCCCATTGTCCTTACAGATCGAGTATGTCTGAGTATTGATGGGTTAGGTTTGGACTTGGTCGGACTTAGCTTCTCGTTTGGTTAAGTTTAACCTTCTATTGAAACGTGGCCGAGGGCCGATAGATGTCATTTGAACTTGGTCGAATTTTAACCTCTTGTTAAATCACGACCGAGGGCCGGTAGGTGTTGTTCGAACTTGGTCGATTTTTAACCTTTTGTTAAATGTAGGTATTGTTCGAGCTGGGTTGAACTTAACCTTTTTGTGGCCGAGGGCCGATGGGTGTTTGTTCGAGCTGGGTCGAACTTAACCTTTGTTAATATGCGACCGAGGGCCGATAGGTATTTGTTCGAGCTGGGTCGAACTTAATCTTTGTTACGATGCGTCCAATGGCCGATAGGTGTTTGTTTGAACTTAACCTTTATTGCGAGGGTCGATAGGTGTTTGTTTGAGCTGGGTCGAACTTAAACTTTGTTATGATGCGGCCGAAGGCCGGTAGGTGTTTGTTCGAGCTGGGTCGAACCTAACCTTTTGTTAAGGCAGTTTTGATAAACGTGAGTTTCTATTACTTTGACATTGTTTTCTAATTACATGATTGGAGAAATTTACAAACTTTGGGCGTTGGCTGGCGTTTAGTCCCATTCCCGGTCTATTTAGTCTGTTCATTGTTTGACTTGGAGAGTACTGAGGAGTCGGGCAATGAAAGAGAAAACATCCCTTGCTTCGCATACTTTGACTCAAAGTGTCCCTTTCCTCACCTCGTTAAGAACCTCCTTGAGAAAACCCTAATGGGACAAAATTCAAGTGAGGGAAAAAGAGTACGACTTGGGGACGCTTCTTCCTTTTAGAAGTTGAATTTTTTGAGGTGGCTAATGTTCCAATTATTTGGTAATTGTTTTCCTTTCATCATCTCTAATTGGAACAAACCCTTATTTGCTTTGGTTGTTACTTTGTACGGGCCATCCCAGTTTGCCTTCCCGTGGTCTTCACTTGCTTGAGTTTTGGTTTTGACTACATAGTCCCCGACTTTGAGCGGTCGGACCTTTGCTTTCTTGTTGTAGTAATGTTCTGCTTGCTGCCTTTGGGCGACCATTCTTATGTGTGCCATCTCTCTTTATTCGTCGATCTCATCGAGTTCCTGCCTTTTACTCTCGTCATTACTAGTACCTCTTTCATGGGAGTACCTTAGGCTGGGTCTCCGACTTTTACTGGTATGACTGTTTCGGTCCCATAGACTAGAGAGTAGGGTGCCTCTTGTGCTCGTCTTCGGGCTGGTTCTAGACGCCCATAATACTTCTGGGAGTATCTCCGGCCACAGTTCCTTGGCGTCTTTGAACTTTTTCTTCATGATGTTTAATATGGACTTGTTGGAGGATTCTGCCTGCCCGTTACCCGCCGGGTGATACGGGGTTTAAAATATCCTCTTAATATGCCATTTCTCGAAGAATTCAACGGTTTTCTTTCCTGTGAACTAGGGTCAATTATCACAGCTGATCTCCTTGGATAGGCTGAATCGACTTACGATTTTTCTCCATATAAAGGTGATTACCTCTTGTTCGCGTATTTGGGTGAACACTCCTTCCACACATTTAGAGAAATAATAAGTTAAAACCAAAAGGAATTGTATATTACCTCGCCCTATTGGGAGGGGGCCCACGATGTCCATTCCCCACTTGATGAACGACCATGGAGAGGTGACTGAGTTAAGATGTTTGCCTGCTTGGTGAATTATTGGGGCATATTTGTGACATTGTTCGCATTTCTTTACGAATTCTGAGACGTTATTTTTCATGGTGGGCCAATAGGATCCTACCCGTATGAGACACCTAATGAGTGTTTGATTGCCGGAGTGAGCACCGCAATGGCCTTGATGGAATTCTTCGAGGATGCGCTGGGTTTGGTTTGGGCCTAAAAACTTTGCCAGAGGGCTGCTTGCATTCTTAGTTTATGTAAAATGCCTCTTAGAGGAAAGGTGGTAACGACCGAGATAGGATGGCACTGGAAATAGGGGTTAAGCTTTCGTGAAGCTATGACAAGTGTCAGGGCCAGTTTCTCGAGGTGTGGGTACCTCATCTCGGCATCGATGAGTGTTTTTCTAATGTAATAAATGGGAGATTGCGTACCTTTACTTTCTAGGATTAGGACTGCACATACGCCCACTTTGGAGATTGCCAGGTAGACGAGAAGATGTTCCCCGGGTTCGGGCTTTAAGAGCAAAGGTGGTGATGATGGATATGCCTTCAATTCTCACAGAGCTTGTACGCACTCGGGCGTCCACTCGAGGTCGTTATCCTTTTTGAGTACGCCAAAAAATTTCTGACATTTGTCAAATGATCGCGAGATAAATCTCAATAAGGCGGCGATTCGATTAGTCAACCTTTGGACTTGCTTCTTGGTAGTCAAGAGCTCCGGTAACCTTTCGATAACTTTGATTTGGTCTGTGTTAACCTCTATCCCCCGTTGTGACACGAAGAAACCCAAGAACTTCCCCGAGGCTACGCCAATCGCACATTTTTCTAGGTTTAGTTTCATTCCATACCATCTCAGTATGTCGAAATCTTCCTTCAAATGGTCGATATGTTCCTCTGCCTTTAAGTATTGACCAGCATGTCATCGACATATACCTTCATGGTCTTGCCGAGCTGATCTTTGGACATTTTCGTGGCCAATCTTTGATAGGTAGCCCCAGCATTCTTCAGGGCATGACCTTATAACAATATGTTCCTTGATGGGTGATGAAAGTGGTTTTCTCCCGGTCCTCTTCATCCATAAGTATTTGGTTATAGCCCGAGTACACATCAAAAAAGCTCAGCAGCTCATGCCTGGTCGTCACGTCGATGAGCTGGTTGATATGTGGTAACGGGAACAGATCCTTCGGGCATGCTTTGTTCAAGTCCGTGAATTCTACCCACATCCGCTATTTCTCATTTTTCTTTTTGACCATAACTAGTTGGCAATCCACTTGGGGTATTCCTGATAGAGCCATTTTCTAATAGTTTCTCCACCTCCTCGTGGACGGCATCGTTGATGGCGGGATTGAATTTTCGTCTGACCTGCCTTAATTGGGGGTACAAGGAATCGACGTTTAATTTGCTTGTTGTGATCTCCTTAGGAATGCCCAACATATCTCCATGGCTGAAGGCAAACAAATCGGTGTTAGTTATTAAAAATTGACTAAATTTACCTGGTTCTTGGAGTTTGTATTCAATGTATCCTTTTTGCTGTAGTCATTAGGATCTAATTGAATGGGGTTGAGGTCCTCTATAGTCGAGTCCGCGGCTTCAACCATTTTGGGATTCGTGATGACGTCCCTGGTCTCTTCTTGTGTCGACCTCGGCCCTTTTGATTGCTATACCATTTTTTCCTTGTCTCTTTTCTGTCGGGTTGTCGTGATGTCTAAGGCGAAGCGGTAACATTCCGGGGACGTGCCTTGTTCTCCCTGTATACTGAATATCCCCCACGGTGTTGGGAATTCGATTACTTTGTATAAGCTGGAGGGGACGGCTCTCATGGGATGTATCTATGGTTGTCCTACTATGGCATTGTATAGGGTGGCCTGGTCCATGATGTGGAATGTCGTCTCCAGCGTTGTGCCACCGGCCAAGACAGAGAGTATAATTTCTCCCATTGTCCATTCAACTGTATTATTAAAACCGGTTAGTGTGATGCAGCAAAGCACTATCTTGTCCTCGAGTCTCATCTGGGCGAGGACTCGGGGATGGATAATGCACGCTCCACTCACGTCATCCACCATGATACGTTTTACATCAGTATCTAAAATGCACAAAGTAATGACGAGAGCATCATTGTGACAAAAAGTCAAACCATCGGCATCTGACTCATCGAAGATGATACTTTCTTCGAGTCCGTTGTACAGTTCGTGGGTGAAAGATCTTTTGAGCTTGTGAGTGGCAGTGAATGTAACGCTGTTGATGGAGGCATCGTCACTGTCGCCGATGATCATGTTAATGGTGCGAGCTGGTGACAGCAGCTTCGGCAGGCCTTGGCATTCACGTCCCTTGGTGAAGTTGTTTCTTCCCTTGCCACTCAGCAGCTTTGAGGTGTCCCTGCTGCAACATGTTCACGACCTCTTGCCTGAGGGCAATGCAATCTTTTGTCTTGTTTCTATGCTCCTAGTGGAACTCACAGAGGGCGTCAGATTTTCTAGTGCTCGGATCAGACCTCATCTTTGGCGGCCACTTCACCTTCGTTCCGAGTATATCCAGGGCATAGCCTATTTTTATAGGTGACACACAACAATTATGAGCATATAATAAGGGGGCATACGTCTCTCGTTCTGGTGAGTCCCCGTTCTCGGACTGGATGGGCCTTCATCATAGTGGAAAGAAGATGGGGCGGGGAACCTGACGTATGGCTGATGTCACTCCCTGTTGGGTCGCGAGATCGGGTGATCCCTCTTTATGTTATCTCTCCATTCTTTCCTGGACTCAGCTTGTACCAAGACGAATCGTTGAGTTGGTCCATTTGGGTCGTCATCATCTGCTCGGACTTCGGCACGGTAAGCATTGTGGATTTCATCCGAAGTGGTTGGAGGATATTTCATCAACCGACTCAGCAATTTTCTAGTTACTCTTGAACTATCTCTACGCAGCCTGTTTGGAAAAGTTGCGACCGCCATCCTCTCAGACAGGTTTGGTTGGGTCATCCTTACCCTGTTGAATCGGGCGAGGAAGTCCCTCATTCTCTATCTCAAGGACTGCTTGATGGAAAATATATCATTTACTCTTGTTTTGGCTTTCTTGGCTCTGGCATGTGCCGTTACGAACTTATCGGCCATCTCCTCGAAGGTTTCTATGGAGCGGGTTGGTAGCTAAGAGTACCATGTTAATGCCCCTCCCGTAAGGGTTTCTCCAAATTTCTTTAGCAATATAGAGGACATTTGTTCCTTGATGAGGTCGTTGCCTTTCACGTCGGTGACATAATGAGTCACATGATCTCCGGGGTTAGTCATTCCATCGTATATCCTGAGGTACGGTGGCATTTTCAAGGTCTTTGGTATGGCATGCGGGCTGCTTCCTCGATGTACATCTACTCTATGAACCTACCAACGTCCCTCTTTGGCAGTAGCTTAGGGGCACCCGATATCTTGTCGACTGGTTCTTGGTGTTCTTTCATTTGATCTCTGAGCACTTTATTTTCACTCTCCATTTCTTCCATCCTCTTTAGAATAACAGCGAGGACGTTGTCACCTGCATTGTGAGTTATACCTAGCGTTGGAGGGTCTGGTTGGTCGCCATGTTCATCTGCTCGTTGCACTATGTGGGCTTTTATGGTCTCTGTAGTCGTGCATGGAGTGGGCTGGTTGAGCACATTTACTAGCGTATCGGTCAACCACGCTCGAGAAGCTTTTTCATGGCCGGTGGTGTCCCTTCTCCTGTGGACGTGGATGCCCCTTTTCCATTTGGTTTTGTTATGCTACAATGAGGGGGAGGCGACCTCTCGTTCTTGGGGGGGGGGGCAGTGGGTGTCACATCCTCGCCTAATATTTCACAACTCTCCTTGATAGCATTCATGAGGTAGCTAGGGAAATCACCTGTCACTTTAATCATCTCTCCTTGGTTACCTGCCATGTAGGTTTCCGTACGTGCGAAGAAAGAGAAAGATCTTGGGGTTTGTGAGGTTAGTGACTCACACCAGCTGTAGATCTAAAGGAAAACTAAAAAAGTAGCTAAGAAGTCCCCACAGACGGCACCAAATTGTTCGATCTAAAATATAGATCTCGATTCAACCAATTAGATTTAAGTAAAGAAGAGTCAATCTTAGCTAATAATAATATCCAAAAGATAAAGTTATCGATTTTATGACAGATAATATGTATATTGACCTAATGATAGTGAATGTGAGCACTAATAACAGTATTCAATGATTCAAAAAGATGGAAGATAGCATTAAATAGTAATGAATGGCAATAAATGACATTTAAGTAATTAAAAACGTGTGAGTCCCCCGAAAATGAGTGAGATTTATGAATATTTTTTCTAACAATGAAGAATGATTTATGAGCCTTAGAACACACAGGTTGTTCTTAGATCGAGTGGAAAGTTAGACAAGAATCTTAGTATAAAGTTTGTTTTTGTATGCTTGCAATATGATCAGGTTCACTCTGTAAATTCAATGTGTTTTCTTGCAAATGAATATCTTATGTCCCCTATCATTGTGTCTCTTTCTATTTATGGGGAACATATTCCTAAAAAACCATAAGAGTACAAGTGCAGAGAATATCCACTATAATATTCTCTTTAGTGTCCTATCTTGAAACTAGTCGTTCTAACTGTGTCTAGGATGCTCAACCTCGACCTTGATCTACGACGACTTCTCGACCTTGATCCTTGCTGATTCTTCGACCACGTCCTTCATCATTTCTGGAAACACTTCGAACTTGGGCAAGTCTTTATTGAAAGTCGTATTGGTGACACATGGCAGTCTGTGAATGCCTCCTTAATGTTAACATGGTTTGATCATATTAGAGATAATTTTTGACCCGTACATATATATTTTTTCTCACTCATATATATCATCTATGTCCATTAACATCGAGAAGGGAGAGATGTTGAACCTCAATAGCAATAAAAATCAGCAACTACACAGATCTTGACTCCAAAATTTGAGCGAGGAAACAACGACAAAATCTGACGGGAACCGCAACCAAAACGACGGGCACAACAAATTCGAACCAAATCCGGCACCTCAATCGCTCAAACAATGAATAATCTCCATTTCTCTTATGTGATATTCGTACAATATTATACCAAAATCATCATCCTAACCTTGACTCTACTTGAAAATGGCGCTTTCATCTAAGTTTTGTAAACGGTCCAGAAAGTGCGAGATGAAGCATTGAGATTTGTTGCTCTTTGGATTTCCATTCCCCTTTGTTCTTGTCCGTTATTCTGTTCCTCTTGCTGTGCACGGTGTTTGTGGTCGCCGATTCTGTTGCTGGCAGCGTCCCCAGATGTGTGAAGAGAGGAGGAGTTGAAGAAGAAAGGTGGAAAACGGTTGTTGGTGTTGCTGGTCGGCGACAAGGGTTAAAGCGGCAGAAGGGTTGTGAAAGGGAGAGAGAGAGAGGGAGGTCGGCTATTTGGTGGTGTAGGTTGAAGGTGATGGCTGTGTTGTTTTTTGTCTTAGGGTTGGGGTCTCGTCTATTATGTGCTGAAGGGGGTCTTCTTTAATCTTAGGGTTTTAGAATTCAAAAAGAAAAATCTGATGGGGTTGGGCATGGGTAAGGCGTCTGGGCTTCAGATTTGGGCCTTAATATTGGGCTAAAAATAAATGTCTCAACCTTAGTTAATATAATATAAATATACTACATAATGCAAAAATCAATCTAATTAATTAAACTAAATTATGTATAAAATATGAAACTATTTTTAGTATTTTTCAAATGTCATACTAAAATAAAAATAGGATTAGATTAAAATCATTGAAAAATTAAAATAATACTACTACCAAAAACTCTAATATCCTTGAGAACAAAGTGGAACTATTTTTGTATTTTCGAATTTTATGTAAGGTAAATAAACTAAAAGTAACTAGATAAAACATCAATTAGCTAAATAAAAGAAAATACTTTTGTAATTTTTATTTTGGTGATAAAATAAAGTCAAAGAGTCAAACTACTTAAAATAGCAATATTAGACCTAAACTGAATATTTAAACGCTAAAATGCGTAAAATCTCGGGGAGGGTCAAAAATTACATGTATACAGGAATGATATAAGGTTCTGATTTCCCCTCTTGTCGGAATTCTTTCCGCTATATTTGCTATAAATTTGCCTAAGTCTTCTCTGCCGATCATGAGCACTCTGACTGTCGTAACTCTGTCCCGAGTAATTACAACAATATACTAGATATATTCTCCCGAATTACGCTAGCTGGCCATAATTACAGCTCACTTAGATCACACCCAAGGTTTCGTTATCCCTAATCCCACCTTTAAACCCTTCATATTGATCCCTCATATACGTTAGGAGTGGTGTTCTTCAACAACTACCTAAATATGCACTCTCTCCTGAGTAATACATACTAAATAGGCATAGTCGATTGAGGGCCCTTCAATCAACATCAATCATAATATAGTTGAACCAATAGAGAAAATACTATGGCAAATCTATATTAATATAACAAGAAATTCATCCTCCAAGAGGTTCCACCAAAATCCTAGATTAGGAGTTTAGCTATGCATACTAAGAGATGAGAATTCAATAATTAAAGTCATAATTAACAATGGAATTAAAAAGAAGAAGAATAAAACTCTAAGGAAAATTCTCTATCTTTCTTCCGTGTTCTTGCCTTCAAAATCTCTCCAAAAACAGCTCCTCTCTCTTGGACGAATTAGGCTTCATATAGGTTTAGGTTAGTCGCCATGAAAATTACATAATTGACCCTAGATTTTTGGCTCCTGTCTGCCCTTCCGCGGCCACGGATCAGACCGCGGATGGACCCTGGATTTGACAATTGTTCTGTCCGCGCTCGCGGATCTGACCGAGGACCTGACCATTCACGAAGCACCAGATCCCGGTAGAATTCCCTAACAAGCAACAAGTTACCGTCCTCCGGCTCTTCAAAGAAGATGTCTAGCCTGCGCCTGATCAGCTCCCTATACATATTAGGGCCTCAGCCTGGAAGGAACCCCTGTCAACTCCCTTTTCTTGTACAGGCTTCCTAATAGCCTTCCAACTGAAACGGTCTTGGGCAGCTCTGGAGACAAACCCGGTGCTATCAAACTGCCCTGAACAGGATGATGCCCGTGCCCGGGACGAGCCACCGGTAGTGCGTCTCTTCTTTGAAGATCTCATTGTACCTGAACGGCGCCAGGTCCGCGGCCGGATCTGCGATCAGATCCGCAGCCGTGGACAGAACATTTGCAAACTTCGCGATTGTTCCACGGTCAGATATGCGGCTACGAATTAGGAATCCAAGATTTTTTTGCTTTTTTCCGCATTTT